AGGGATCCCCCGATGAACACACGACCCTGTTACCAACGGCCACAGCCTGCAGCCATAACCTGGAGGCTGACTTTAACTCCTAGGGCAGCACTGATGCTTTTTCCGCCCCCCAGAAAATCAGAGTTACTCCTGGTACAGCTCGGTATTCATAGGCTTTTTTTCAGGAAAGGAGCATCAATTTTCTGTCTTACAGGTGTCCTTGTGTGCCTTGAGATGACACCATCTGCAGTGCAACGAGGGACTTCAGAAACACCAAATTCCAGCTGCAGCAGAGGTGCAGCAGGGAGGCCGAGGTGGGCGAAGAAGGTCATGGGTGACCACCGCCGCTCAGTGGGAGCACTTCCACTGCAGCCACCTCACAGCTATGGACTGAGCCTAGCACAGATCATTTTCCAGTGTTTTTGTGGCTTTTCTTTTATTTGAGTGACATGGCCACATCCTTTGGTTTGTCCCTGTGGTGCCAACCAGGTGGCTCAGTGTAGCAGTCACTGGTCCCCAAGGACTTGCATTTTCAGTGGAAAACCCCACACTTTGGGACTTCGTTCAAAAGAGGCAAGGCTGGCTGCTCAGCATGATACTAGCTCCTCCTTTCTCACAAGGTTTGGAGAGTGAGGGTGGTGTTAGTAGGGTGGGTTTTTATAGTTTATATGTGTCAGGAAGAGGGGTGAATTAATCAAAGAACGTGCAATTGTAAGAGGTGGAAAACTTGCAAAAGGCAGCAGAATATTGCACGCATTTTTGTACATGCAAACCCTGGCCATGAATGCAATGCAGCCCCTGTGTACTTCGACACTCATTTAGTGTGGGTCTCGGGTGATGAGGCAGGTGAGCTGCGGGGCCTTGACACTGTGGGAAATAGCAGCCCGTGAGCTAGCACTCGTTCTGCCTCCACTGAAACAGGGCGTTCACCTGCATTAGCTCCCATCTCAGACTCCAGGCTCCTACATAGACAAAGCGTGACAATATTAATGCACGCTGCTGAGTGTTTGACATATTCCTTCTGCACTGCCGTCCCTGCTGTAAAACATCAAGTATTTCAAAGAACTAAAAAATACACCTTGCTCACAAATGATCTGCACAGATGGAAAGCATTGTCAGCACGTCGTGCTTTAATTTCTGCACACAAAACAATTAATCTCTTCAATGATAGGAGATACAACCCATGAAAAAGAAAAGATATCAAAGGAAGGGCATGTTCCCTGCCTGGGACCTACGATCCTCAAAGGACAGCTATTGACATGTCCCAAGACCTAAGGCACTGCGGTGAGAACCGTCTCTGAGCAGAGGTCACCAGTTAAAGGCCATGGAAAAGAACTGTCTGGATGGCACAGCCTGCTCCTCTCCTCAGGGCGATGCTGCAGGAGTGTCACTGGTTTCACGTGCCGCTGGCGTGCTCCACTCTCTGGTACTGGGCGTGTGTGCAGCTTGCTCCTCTTCCACGTCTCTGCTTAAACACGTTTCCTTCCCACACCCTGCCGGGCAATGGCGACGGTCAGCTGCAGCAGCTGCTCGCCGGGAGCAGCCCGGGGGGTCTGCTCCGGCACAACCTCCCTCTGCTCCAGCGATCCTTGCCCTGCCGCCTCCTCCACAACCAGAAGGGCACACATACCGCTGCACCTTCCCTCGCCCATCGCAGGCTCTGCATGGAAATCACCAGGTGGGAGCCTGTGGTACGCCAGGAGGTGTCTCTGCCCCAGAGGACAAGGATCAGTCCAGGATTATTCTAAGGACCCTGCAGTCCTGACCCGCCTGTGCCACGCTCTGGTCCTGCTCTCCCCCCCTGCACCCACAAGCCCTGGTTTTTAGCCCTTTTCCTCCCGAGTGTCACTAGTGCCCTCCAGCAGCATGGCCGCAAGGCTCAGTGCAGCGACCTGCTGATGAACCACGCTGCAGCAATCACGCCCCGTCCCACAGGCCTGCGCAAACCTGAGATAATCTCAGAGGCACTGGCCGGACTTTGCAACCGCCCTGAACTGCCCCGTGCCACAGTCCTCAGGGACCGCTGGTGGGAAGCACCCAACGCCAGCACGCACGCTGGTACAACAGCACATGTACCGTTTCCTGGAGAACTGCTGGTCTATCTCCTCTAAGGACTGTCCTTTCGTTTCCGGAACGAAGAGGTAAATGAATACAACAGCCATCACGCCCATCAGTCCATAGAGAAGAAACATCCAAGAGAAACCAATGGCATCTGCAGAGAGATTCAAGAGCATGAAGGGTCCATTGGAGGTAGGTCGCATCATGGGATACAAAGTAAGCTGGTTGCTTATTGCAAGGTGGTCATTGGTGCCTGACTGGGACATTTTATTTTGGGAAGCCCTCCAACGGGCAGGAAAGCTCCTTATCTGCAAGGCCTGGACCGGGAATAGGCAAAGGAGAAGGACGGTTCACACCAGGCTCTGCCCTAGCACGGCAGGGAAGGTGGCAGCCGAGCTCCCGGGGCCAGCAGTGCCTGCTGAGTGCCTCAGCCAAGAGCTCTGCTAGAAAGAAATCTTGTAAAGCCACCGGCGTGAAGGCTGCGAACTCCATGGTTTCCTGACACTGCAGCAGTATAGTATCATAGGCCCGTGGGGGATGGATGATCTTTATGAAATGGGTGGCAGAGGGGCTCAGACCAGTGTTGCTGGTGCCGATTTTTCTCCTCTTGGAGGCATCAGGGTCACACCTATTCCAGTGTCAAGCCCCTGGGGTTCAAAATGCCACTTAATCTCCAAATGGCTTGTGGTAGCCACCTTCCCTAACCAGCTGTGGGAGACGGGAGGGATGGGGGACGGCCACTTACCAATAAGGTCCAGGAAGGAGAGGCTGATCAGTAAATTAGCGGCCCAGTTAAAGCTGTTACAGAAGGCAAAGGCTCTTCCTCTTATCCCAGCAGGGTAGATCTCACTGAGGACCAGCCAGGTCACTGCACGGATTAGAGATCAGAAAGACAGTTGTAGGGGTTCAGCAATTTATTTGGGAAATGGGCAAAGAAGATTTCAGTAGGGGTTTTAAACTCTGGCTTCACCCAGCACCCGCTGCCGGTGCTGTCAAACACTCATTGATCTCAGAGTCGGGTCACGGCACAACACTTCAAAACTCCCACGTTAGCACTCCACGGAGGAAGGCAATACCAATGGACCGGCCCGGGGGGCAAAGGACAAAGCAGGGGAGCTGGTCATTACACTCACAGGAGATGGAAAAGGTCTGGCGTATCTGCTGTCAGGATGTGCTCTTTGTAAAGAAATGAGGAAGGGGTAGAATTAAGGAGACAACGTTGCATTTGGGCTAAAATCAGAGCTAAAGCAATATGTATTTTAAAGTAGCTTCTCTTATCCCAGGCTTGTTTTGCTTGAAATAATTTACAGCGTGACTGTCAAACCCATGATACTTGCTCATTTATGTTTTTAAGTCAGATGCTGTTTTCTCCCATCAAGGCATTTAAAGCGATAAATTCCAAAAAACAGTAGACCTCACATGGAAGCAAGAACTAATCTCTATTCTCACCTGATGAATAAATAATGATTTCAGAAAAAGACCAACTGATACTACAAAACTTTCAAAGAGGTTCTGGTTCCAGTTCTGCACTGACTTTATCACACAGCAGAAGCCCCTCAGTCCTTCTGTCCTCAGCCTTCTATCTTCAGCCTCACCAGGGTGCTAGGAAGATTAGGTAGTGCTTGTGGGATGCTCTGATTTTGCAATGAGCTTTACAGAAAAAAAAAAAAAAATTACAAGGGTAGTGATACCATGGAAGAGACAGTTATTCTACTGCTGTACCAGCCCTATAGCTGACAGACCTGCAATGCTAGAAAATGGTTCAGTGGGCAGAAGGGGACATTATTTCCAGTTCCCAGACACTGAGTTGCTTGATAAAGCAGATGCATAATGAACGTTTCAAGCAGAGTGTAAAGATCAGCCCTAGTTTTATTCTCTGGGTTAGTGCAAGGATATATAAACACCATACTTACTTGGTCCAAATCCAATTGAGAAGGCGCTTACGAAAGCCATCATGCTCAGCAGCGTAATCCAATTTAAAACCCTATGTTCTGCCCAGGGAGCACCACCGAAAGGAGGGCTTGTGCTTTCCGCTGTCTCTTTTTTGGACAGACCTACCAAGCCCCTTTTCTGAGTGAGGGAAGAATCAGGAACAACCTCTCTGCTTTGAGTACTGGCAAAAACTTTTGTAAGGCTCCTCATGGCAGGAAAACCAGGGCCTGCCTGACTTTTGACAGCACCTGATGCTGGTGGGATGGGTGACACGGGTGTCAGGGGGTGCTGGGTGAGGCCGTGGGACGAATTGGGGTCTGCGGCTGCCTTGCAGTCCCTGGCCATGGCCAGCGGAGCAATGCGGCTGGTGAGGCCGATGGTGGTGACAGAAATGGCCATCACCACGCAGCCAGCCACGAGGAGCCCTCTTCGGCCAGCCTTGTCTGCAAAGGCCATCGCGACAAGCGTGGCCACCACCTTTATTGCCCCCAGCCCAACGGAGGCCAGGATCGCCGAGGAGTTGCTCTGGAACCCCACTGAATGGAAGATTTTGGAAGCGTAGCCCAGCACATTGGGCTGCCCAGTGAACTGCTGGAAGAGCACCAGTCCCAGGCCCACCAGAGTCCGCCTTCTCATGTTGTCTCTGGTCCTGAAAAGGTCAAGAAACGAGTAATGCTTCTCCTTATAGGGCTCCCGCTTTGCTGCTGCTCTGTCCTCACTGTTCTGCAACTGAATGAGGCCCTTCTGGCTGTCTGAGTCCCACAAGCTTAATCTAACGGGGTTCACTGGGAGAAAGAGGATGCTGAGGAACTGCATGGCTGTCGGGGCAATGGCCAGTCCAAACATGTACCTCCATCCCTCACCCACGTCCGCAAAGATGTAATTCAGCGCATAGGACAGGAGGATGCCTACTGTGATGCCCGCTTCATAGAGAGACACCAACAGCCCTCGCTGATGGGCAGCCACCATTTCTGAGACATATATGCAGCAGGCCATGGATGAGACAGAGATGGCAAAGCCCACGGTCATGCGCCCAATGACCAGCCCAATAAATGACCTCGCCAACGTGAGAATAAGGCTGCCAACCAACAGGACCAAGTTGCTGACCAAGATTGCTCTCCTCCGTCCATGGCGGTCAATGAGGATCCCCCCAACCAGAGAGGCGAGGAGAGCTCCGATAAGGAGGGCGCTCACGAGAACTTCTTGCTTGAAGCAGCTGAGGTGAAAGTCTATCTGCAACTGCAGCAGTGCACCGGAGATAATCCCCAGCTCGTATCCAAATATCAGCCCACCCAGGAGAGAGACCGTTGCAGACAAGAGGAGGACCAGCAGTGCACGACCTGGAAAACAAGCAGGCAATGCTAGGTTCAGTTTTCTGACAGAAGTTGGAACAAGGTCTCCCAGGACAGCTAAAGTTCTCCATCTGCAAAGCCACGATGCTGAATTTCCCCACAGGTCACTACGTCATGTGCAGAGAGGTACCTGCAGATAGTCACACAACCTACCAGGCCTGCACACACTTCCACTAACTGCAGAGGCACTCATTTGGGGTGCAGAACCGTGAAAACAGGACTTGGTTAAGAAAGTTAAGACTTGTAGTGGAGGACAGTGATTTGCACTGTCTGGAGTTGTACAGGGGGATCCTCTGTGGTCTCCTGTGATTCTAATTACAAAAACTGTTCTGGGCAGGAAACACAGCTTCTGCTTTCTGGTTCTGAATTGTTCTACGTTATCATTTTCACGTTTCAGTGCATGTGGCACCATCAGCTCTCACTGCAGGCTCTGCATTCCCACTCCCTACCTCGTCGTTAAAAACGCTGCTCGCAAAAAATTATTTCTCCTAGTTAATCTTGCACTCTCAGCATGACTTTGTGGGGGTGGCCCTGATTTCTTCATCCCTCCTTCTATGGCACATAGCGCCCAGGATTCCCACGCCAGGCACAATCTTCTCAAGCTGGTCCAGGACTACAGGACAAACTTCATCATGAGCTAAAAAGCTCACTGTTGCCTGCCCCGATTACAAGAAGTGATTCTTCGACCTTGCCTTTCCCCTACAGCTGAGCATGTAAGTTTAGTTAAAATAAGAAAAAACAACAGCAAAAGCAAACCAAACCCAAACCAACCAACCCACCCCAACCAACCCTAAAAAAACGAGGTGCTTGCTGCACATGCTTCTCACCCCAGGGAGAGGATGAAAGGGTGACCATGTGTGAACCATTAGTCATGTTACGGCAGGGGGGACTGCTCACGGCATGAGAGCCAGTGCAGATGGGGAACAGCAGTGACAGTGACAGCTACAGTTTTGAAGACATGGGTAAAGTGCATTAGCTTAAAAGTTTGTGCTGATTTCTAGCACATACTATCTGTATTCTCACATTGACTTTGTTCAATTAGCAATACTCACAGTTTCAGTAGACTGTATGTGGAAAGAATGTGAACACAACCACCAGACCATGGAAAACTGTCCTCATCCTGCCTAAGGGTTTTTTCCCCCCTCACAAGCTGTGTTTAATAGGAAGTGTCTCCATTCGCCCTTTAATTACAGCTAGCAATAAAGGTTATTTCTCAGTGACGGCTATATTTATATTTGTATTTATTCTGTAACTCTCTGTGTTTCCTTTGTGTTACTTACACCGTCCCAGCTACACGCCAGTCTGTCCCACCACGCTCTGTGTGGCTACCTGCACTGCTTTTATCACTCCTTGTACACATGTTATTCAGATAATCAGAAAAAATATTTGCTCACTGGGAACAAAAAGCTTTGCATAAAGTGGGCATGCCATTAGTTGCAAGCCACAAACTCAATTAGTAAATACCCCAGCCGATTGCACCGGATTTTTGCCGTATTTCTTGTTCACCCGATGGGCGGTAAGAGTTTGTGAACTCGGACTGAAATCCAGCTTTGCGCACAGCCTACTCTGAGGCAGTCGGGGAACGCGAGGACGCTTCGGATCTTGACGTGAGGACACAAAGTTTGGTGGGTCTCCCGAGGAGCCGCGCCAGGC